ACTCGTCGATATTATTTGTAGAGTCGTTCGAAACAAAGCTTTTTCTTTGCGAAATTTTGACCATTACACTGCCTTCTTATGCGCCATTTTCCCCCCACTATGATTCACGCTGCTCTAGCATTGGCTGAAGCACCAAATTATCGTGCATACGCCTTCTTTAAGGCGCTGAGCTGCTCCAGTGACACCTGCCTTTTTCCACTGGTTCGGCCTCCAACTCCGCCTCCAGGCTCCGCCTTCCAGCCAGAAGCGACGCTGTTGAAGAAGTAGTTTTAAGTAAATGATACACTGCCTTCTGAGTTCACAGGGTTGATTACAAGGATCAGCCACTGGACCGCCAAACACGCATTCCGCCTTTTACCCGTGCGTTGTCAAAGTTGGGGGGTCTTATCAAAGCGTCTCCGCGTTCCTTTTCATTTTCTCTCAACGAGCACCTTGAGTAACTTCTTCTTCATATTTGCCAGATTGACGACCTGAGCCCTTATCGCGGCCCTAACATTTGAGAGATATAAAACAAAATCGTAGACCGTCTAGCCCTGTAGAACTTGTATATTCCAAAGCACACGCAGGAAATCCACAGTGATTCTGAATGGAAATAGGACGCTAGGAGCATTGAAAAAACGCATATTTAACGGAGAGCTGTGCACTTTTAGGTTTTTATAGTATTGCATTCACCTTCGCCTGCCAGAGCTGCTTGTTATCGATGAGCACGACGCTTTTTGGCCCTTCATTGGTGGCCCTTCATACAACATGACAACTTGACAGATTGTGTACGAGCGCCGTCAATACGTTATTCACCATATCGGAATCCCAGTTTGAAAGGACCATTCCACTCCATTCCAAGCTGGCTCGATTGACTGGAAACAGTCTGTTTGGGAGCATAAACGCGCCGATTTGCTTGGCGCCCATGATCAGGGTACTGCTTGGCACCCATGATCAGGGTACAGCATCGTGATGTGTGAAATGCTGGTGTCAGTAGGACCCCTCCTCGACGGAGGGTCTCGGTACGACCCCCCCCCCCCTTTCCCAACACCTACCTACCATTATCCTGCAAGTTCCCAGCTTCTAAGTTTTTGGCCGGGGGGAGGGAGGTAAATAAATAGCACATATGAAACGGGCAAACTTCTTGGATTCCCCCAACTTCCTACCACTTTTCCAAAACTCCCCGTAGGTTTTCCTCACTTTACCCAAAAAATTTTGCTCTCGAGTATAGCCATGTGAAACGGAAAAACCGCGAAAGGTCAGCAACCGGAATAATCGTCCAACCGGCCAAGATTTCTCGCAAAGCACATACGACCCGTCCCTCCCCGACAACGACCAAATATACCCCCACCCCCCAGAGGCCAAGTACACTCCCCCTATGTGTTGGCGTACGACGATGCTTGTTGCTCTCCTCTTGTGCTGTAAGCTTAATATGCTCTGCAACCTTGCCATATCAAACGGAAGTCGAGCGGGCAAAGTCTTTGAGAGTTTAAAACAACCGTCCCACATCCATCTTTGTATCAAAAATAAGTGCTCTTGAAAGTTTTATAGCGGGTCCTGTAGGAGCGCTAGAGAACGAGATACTTTAGTTGAAGGTCTAACGAGAAAGCTTGGCAATGAACAAGTCTTCGGAGCGCCGAACAAGTTCAGCAGTTAGTTAGTACTAAGATGCTTTTGATTGTAAACGGAGTTGAGGATTATTGTAGTGCAGCTCAGGTGGGCGCTGGGGTCGGCTTGAGGGAGGAGAGGGCTTTACAACTTTGCTCGTGCCTTTTGCTACTTCATGTTAACCAGCAGTATCCCAAACTCTTGAGTGTTATTAAAGGAGTACGAGGAGCCACCTTAAAGACAGAAATCGAAGTCTTCACCAGGTTGGCCTACAAATGCCGCCGCTTAACAGATTGATACCTCTCCCCCTAAGCCAAACTATGCCACCTATTTGTTTTGGAGTTAACCAGCAATCCTTCAGGCCCTTACAGCCATCGATTAGTTCACATGGTTCACATAAAAAAGTGGTAACCTCTCTATTGATGTGATCCCATGCTCTTCTGGTTGATTGATGGCATTGAAAACACATACCCTTTGCATTTGGCAGATTCTTTGTGTCTGTGCGCTTCAAGCCGTTCAATAGTCATCCTTGGCTCGGAGTTCATGCGATATATTGTCCTGGTCTGGGAACTGCCGTGCAAGGCTATTTCAGAGTTCAACGTTCAGCTAGCCCAATTCGATCAGCCATTCAAATTTGGCCTCGAGCAGGCTATATGACAATGAATAGACTGAATGCACTCGACAAGTGAGTAACAGCAGAGGGACGCGGGTGTGGTCGCGCAAATCTCGTTATGCGTCACGGGAGGAGGGCTGGGCCCGTGCTCAAGCATTGCCGAAGGGGTGCGCCTGGAACCCTTTTGAAACCACGCCCACCAGAACACTGCTCTATTGATCCCTCAACAAAACCGGATTCCTTAGCAGATTGGTCCTTACTTATTCCAATAATCAACGGCTCCTGCGGCTGCCTACCCCCACCAGAGTATCTGATGATGCCTTTCTGTGTGGCACAAGTGCTGAGCTGTTGCACGTGATATTCTCGCTGCTTTACTGTGACTACGTCGGAGTTCGCTATGAGTTGAGCGGTCTGAATGCAGCAGCAGCCGTCGTCGTCGTCGCCTTTGCGTGGTCCGGAACTCATCTCGAACGTCATCTACTTCAATGCCACCAATACCAGCGCCAATGACAAAAACCTTGCCGCCGATGACAGGTCATTAAATACTTTGGCTTGCTTTATATTCCACCAGCTTCATCGAAATTTTAATGCCTGAAGAGCCTTTAGGCGATAGGCCATCTATGGGTATTTCGTGGTTTCCAGGGTAATATTCTGGCTCGTTCATAGCCAATTAGTGGTTGTCAATGGTCGCGTAGTCACACAAAGTTCTTTGTAGCATCTTTGAATGAGCTCATTAGGGTTGCGCTCATATTCCTGCCCTCCTATTCATTGAATCGATCTTTCGTTTGCAAATTGCTGAGAGCTTTAGATATTGGATTTCAAACGAAATTTGGTTTTTACTTAACTGGAAAGCAAAGTTTTCACTTTGTTGATTTTATTCTGAAATCTCAACATCTGCTTAACTTTTCGCTGATTCTTCCCTCACTAGAAGGTTGAGCTCACCACGCTGAGCAACATTTAACCGTTTGAGTAACAAGTGCTTTTGAACTTTATAATTCTGCTATTTCTCCCATCTACTCTCTTGAGCGCTTCTACTTTATTATTACTCCTGAGTAATCGAAAGTCAGCCCTTAGCAAACCAGGGTGTGGATGTGCTTCTATGCATAAAGGCCGTAAATATCTCTTTTTGAGTAGTACTTGAGGAGGCTAATCTCTTCCTTTCATAAAGAACGAAGAGAGGATGAGGATAGAGGTTTTGCCCCTTAATCAGTCCCGCTTCTTGGATGCGGGCCAGCGCGATCTTCTCTCTCTATTCAGAATCGTTGTGCATACTCCACCAGGCGAAATCATATTTGCCCCATACACCACAACTAAACTTCTTCGTACTGTAGCTTGAGTAACCCTGGTTTAACTGGAAAAAAATGATGAAAAGGTGGCGAAATGCATCGAGGATCTAGCACCGCGAATCCCTATACCAATTGACTAGTGGACCGGCCAACCGATTTGAATTCAGAAAATCAGCAACCCCCCGCTTTTATTCTTCGCTCCAGACAATTATTTGGGCATGCCAAACAATCTGACCGTTTCCAAGCTAGAGGGAAGTCACAGGCTGGCCTAAGCAGATTAAGCCAGTATCCTGCGATTTAGACCGAGCTATGACCGGCGTGCGTGGTGATGTGCCAGGCTTTGGCAATGTACCACCCCTCCAAAAACAAATTAAGAAATAGAAGAAATAAGCCGAAATGAAATTGCCGAAACTGTGTGGTCTGAATAATATCACCTATCAAGGTGGCCGGATGCCGTGCCATGTAAATTGATCATCAATTGAGGATCGTAGAGCCATTCGAATGAAGGTCTATACCATTCCTTGTTTTTGTATACCTGGCCTCCTAAATTCAAACGCTAGCTCGGAAGAGCTGCCGAGCTTGTCGCTCCCGGTTGGTACAAGCTCGATAATTTGGCCAGATTCTTGTTTTCTAATCCTAAAAAGTTGTTTTCTAATTTCTTGTTTTTTTTCCACATTCTAAATTTCTCCCCTAAAACACCAATTGAAAACTCCTGAGTCATGACAAACTCCTGACACAACCGTTCCCTGAATATCCTTCTAATAGCCAATAATCACACCATCTTAAAAAATTTTCTATTCTGGAAAAATTCTAATTGTTTTTCTCTAATTATTGCTTTGTCCGCGTGAAATGTTTTTTCAGCAACGTGGACCAGGGAACGTCTTACGTGGGGATCTCCAGCAAGGAGGTCGCATATGGTAGCGAAGCGGGGGATGCATTTGCCTTTGGGGAAAAAAATGTACCAATTGTTGAATTTTCTATTTTTACCGCCCATAAAAATGTGCGCTGTATACCCTCTTACTCGATGGCAATTTCATGGGGGCGGGGAGGGGGAAGTGTTTCCCCGAAAAAGTGAGTGGAAGAATCCAGGGAGACGGTAGATGGGAGTAGATGGGATGGGGATGAGGAGGTGAAAGGGAGGGGGTCGTTACAGAGGAGGAAGTTCTGAGGAGTGGGTCGTAATTTGCAACAGATTTCTCCAACGTCAGGACGTGTCCTGACCTGAACATCAAAACTACCTGTATTTTCCAGGCGTTAAGCCTGATCGATAGCTTACTAATGAAAGCCTTTCTTTACTTTTGTGTTTTTGTACTCCCATGAGGGTTCTGTTACGAGTCCGAAACTAATCCCGTAGGGTAGGAACAGCAGGCAAAAGATTATAGGCAGAAAATTCAGCAGCAGTAAAAACGAGCACATCCGATCCAATCAAACGACTCATCCGCCGTAAGACGTCGTTATGGCGCGAATCCTCATGAAATATTTCGCGTCATCATTCTTTCTCAAGAGTCAATAGAATGAGCTCAAGAATGCAAAGAAATCGACCTCTGACTTTTTTCAGTCACATCAATAAAAGGACGCAGTACGAGCGTCCGGGCACGTCAACTACAATGTCACGATATGATGTGCTACCAACGACGGCCACTCACAAGACGAACGGTGTAAGTGTAACCAGTATTGAAACTAACTTGAAGCCCTACTGGGCTTTTGAATAGGTGATTGCCAAAAAACTATGAAAAGGTCGGGAGATAACAGCAGTGCATCGATGAGCAGCACGCGACGAAATAGAGCAGTGAATTGAGGCAGACTTTAATGACCAGAAAATCCATTCTTCCAAAAGGGCTTATCCAACGAAGAGATTTAGTAGGAATTTAGGGCAGGGATATGCTCAACAAAAGCCAGTAAGGAAAAACTCAGGAACGCTCCTTTCGAAGCAGAAAGTGCAGACTTGCTAGCAATGGATGTGTCAGAGGGTGCGCGAATTCAGACGCGGGACGGCCTAGTTAGCACGCGTTGTTCCCCCAATTGTTATCGCTTGGGCCGCTTCAACAATTGCATTAGATTATAGGCCTAGGCCTCCGTGCCAAACCTCATTCCCCCCCCCCCCCCCCCTTGACACGCCCAGCATACGCTGCGAACAAAGCTGTGGTGCGTTCTGCATGCTGGGTGTTAATATAACTTCAATAGTAACTTTCTTTGGAAAAGATCGCTAAGTGCAACTTAATAGTTGATGCTGAAAAGTCTTGGCTGAAGCAGGTCGTAAAGGCGTCATTCTGCGATAAGCAGGTGGGCTGAACTCGTAGTTGTCGAACGTTCTCCATTGGTGCGGTGCTGTTTGTAATAAGCCCAAGAGGGAGAAAGATGTCATTGGGGGTGGGGGAGGGGAGAGAGCAAGCGCAATAGCTGGCAGATTCTGCCCCATTTCTTAGCAAACCGCATTATCGCACAAAGTGCTTCAATTTTTCCACGAACGCGATTTAGTTTGGCCCGGTAATCGGTACCTAAAGCAGCAGTGGGTTTAGCATTTGTTCTGTTGTTCTTCTGGGGGCGGAAGGAGAACTGGCGCTTCTAGGCAGATTCTCCAATTGCCGCGAAGTCCTATGTTAATCTCTTGAAGGCATTTCATACAAACATCATCAATCTTCTACTTGTTGGGTTGGGTAGAAATATGCACACAAAGGAGAGTCTGCGCGAAATTCCGACGCGATACCCTTCCACTCTTATCAGCTGCAATCTCCCTCTGGAATCGAGGTATTGCCACACCTGCTATTGAGCAGTATAACTGTTGATCAATAATCGCTGTTTGAATTTGCGGAATTTCAAGGAAATTCTCGGGTCTATTTTGATAAAGAACTACAGCAAAGGAGAAAAACTGGATTAGGCCAAGAATACTTTTGAATGTTCTATTGGCAAGGCAGGTCTGCCGTTGGGGAAATTTTTGCAAACTGCGACCTCTCCCTTAGTTCCTCTTCTGGTACCCTCCTCCTTCCCCCCGCTTAACTATCCAAGTATTTTCCTAAGTATTTTCCTACTTTTCAGAAATTTTCCCTAAAAAACTACCGTTGGAGGTGAAAAAGGGGAGGGGTATAATGCGCACTGGAAACAGCCAATAAAAATCGAAAAAATCAACTGTTGACAGTGTTTTTATAAAAAGAAGAAACGATCCCTATCCCTGCAACCAAATACAACTCCGCCCCATCTCTGGGGATCCCCACCTACGACGTGCCGTGTCAGCTGATTTTTCGTAACATTGTGAACAAAAGTTTGCTTTTGCAAACGATATTCCAAAAAGGTTTCATAACTTGCCCACCTGTTCATTGGTTCGGAGATCAATAAATAATTTTGAATTGTGTTGTAGACGTTTTTGCCTTGTTCAAGTTTTTTTTGATACCCAATATAAGTGTTGAATTAAAATTCCTGCTTCGGCCTTCAAAAGTCACTTTGAGAGTTGCAACGGGTATCATGAGTGAGTTACCCTGACTGTTTCAGATTATTTCCAATGGTCATCAGTCTTCACCGGCGCACCAACAACGGCAGAAACAACCCCCTCCTCTCAAGCCGCCCAGAAAGGCGGCAATCCATTCTTCACCCGTGATCCTCAACAACTACGTGGGTGAAATGGTGACGACAACGATTATGAAAGGCCCTAAAGGACTCGGTTTCACATTGATCGGAAATGACGCTTCCAGTAAAGGAAATGAGTTCATACAGGTACAGCTTTATTTAATTCCTATTTTTGTTTTGATAAGCGGAGTATTAAACTGTGCGGCTGGTGCATACTTTTGGCTTTTCAAACAA